AAAATACAATAAATAACAAAAAAGAAAGAAATAAGTTATTAATAAAGTAATGAACTTTATACAAGATATATAGAGTGTTAAGTATATAGGATAGAAAAGAGGAGCTGGGAATGATCAGTCACTTCCCATGGGTGTTTCTGAGAAGAACAGGTTATCACGGCTCACCTTTACAAGACCTTCATTACGGGAAACAACTTTTTGAAATTGAATATTATAAACACAAGCATGCTTTACTACGCCGCTATGGCTGACCTTTTGCTGTCTGTCTACGACTGTCACTAGCTCTTTAAGTATACCCAGTTTAATGATTTTGCAAACAAATAATGTAATCCATTTCATCATTGAGTTACAGTCTTCTCGGTTGCTCACAACGGCACCACCCTGCACACGCCGGATAAGGTCGTGGCGCAGTACGAGAACCGAGTATTGGCCGTGACAACCTTCTGCAGCAAAGCAGAGAACAGCATGTGCGCTCAGGGTCTACATTCTCGCCACCTCGATCCGGTGACCTTGGTAGACGATGGTGTCATTATCATCGACGAGCAGCCGGCCACTGTCAGCTATGACGGAAGCATGAAAACCAAGGTAGTCAGGACGACCTTCGTCACGCGCTGGTTAACGACTCAAGATTCGCCAACCGCAATAACGCCCAAAGCTCATTCCCTGATGTCACGTCATCCTGAACATTAGCGGCCACAACATGCTGCTCAGCCTCCTATATCTGGGGTCTTATTCTCCTAACGCAGTACATAAGAATGTTACAAAGCACCCACCAAGCCAACGAATTAGTGGGTACTGACCGCTCCCATCGAAAATGCTAAAACAGCGTTGCCAACGACAATCGACACGTTCAGCAGTTCGAGGCAGACCTAGCGATCCTCGACAGCTTTTTGCTAAACATCTACTGAGAAATTGGGTGTACTGGACGAGGCGCTTACGCTGCATTTTTTGGCTTAGACGAGAGCAGCACTCTGCAATAACAAAACTAATCTCAGCTTGGTCGCGATCGGCCTTTAAGCAGGGAGGTAACGTCAGTCCGATCATTCACAGGCCAAGCCCAGTAACAACGACCTGCCCGAGCCAATAGATGTAGATACATCTACATCCAGTACAGACTTACTAATCTTAACGCGAATCTCAATAAAAGATCGATCGAAAGGTAGAGGACCACGTCGCTACCAGCCTTGGTCAAAGTCAGAGGCATACGGGTCTGCCGAGGTACTCGCTGAGCTCGAGGTCGAAGGCGAGTACGACAAGACATTTTTGTAGGGGTAGGTTCCTGCTGCCAATCATATGACACAAAGCAGGAACAAGCATCAAATTTCGTATCGACGCGGGCGCGTCTCAAAATTCTATCATGCTACACAAGTGGCTGCTAGACATAAAACCCCCGAAAACCCTTCTACCGTTTGCCCCATTCATGGTTCCAATAACACTACGCGAAAGTGGCCTTTTTTTTTTTTTAAACACATTAGATATGGTCGACGGAATTATTGGCCTTGACCTACTAACGCAAGTGGGGGCTGTTTTCAATCTTTAAGATAGCCTAATAAAAACCAGTACTGTTTTGGAGACGAATCAGTATCACAGTATCACAAAGTTGCCACTCACCTAACCTAACACGTTAGTCTCAAATTGCACTCATCCTTTAAATTAAGTGGTATTGCCTTCAGCAATCACAACCCAATGTACAATCCGAAGCTCCAGGAAGCACCAAATGTGTGTTGGATATTGGCTACGCCAAGGCCGGCCCAGTAATTATACAATCTAAAAATTTATTTCAAGAACTATGGTTGCTCGATTTAGGTTGTAATTCTCAACTTCCACCTAACCTAGCTGAGAAATGCCAAATATGTCGGACTCACATTTCCTTTTTAAAAAGCTAAGCTTGGCACAACATATTGGTAAGATATTGGGCATGCTTTCTCAGACGGATCAATAAAGACTTATGCCGCAGTTGCTTACCGCCGGATAACGAACGTAACAAGGATAACAAGGATACTCCCCTTGGTGCACAGACGAGCGTCGCTCTACTCAAGCAACATTCACTCCCGCTCTTAAATCTCTGTAGTGCGCTGGTATTAAGTAGACTAGTTGCATATATTCACCACTTTGTAAAAACCTGGACAAGACTGCAAATGCTTGTTTAAGCGTAGCTGTCGGATGATTCATCCAAATGTAAAACCTTTGTTTGCACAGATTAGATTCTAGACATGATTACGGCGAACGCATGATATCAGGTAATTTCAAATGAAGATTTAGCCGACTGCGTAACCATACGCATGTTGGCATCAGATTTACTGAACTTTGATGAAACGGACCAGCCTGGCTTGACGATACAAATCTCAATATTATGCATTTCTGCCACTATTTCAAATGACATTGCGCAAGAGGAAGTACAGACAAAAAAAATAGCTGCGTTGGCAGTACACAACGCTGTAAAGGCTATGATGGACGACCAGGTTAAACGTGTTTAATTCTGGCAGAAACTCGAACGCATCATGACTTATGTATTGCGCCTCTCGAAATGAACACAACGTCTGCAATATGACACCGGCTCATTTTTATGAGGCACGCTAATAATGCCTACGACACTCACAGACAATCAAAAAGGATTACCGAAACTGCTTGGGAAATCTTCACTTGTGACCAGCTGCTAGCTGCGCACTCCCGCCAAACATCGACGAAGTTGGATTGGTAGGCGTCATTAGACGTCTAAACACAATTCGGAATTACCCTTCTGTGTCAAACAACCGATTATTCTACCAAAGGCACATCATATAACGATATGAACATATCGGTGCACGAAATCTTTTTCAAAAGGTTTCTCAAATATTTATTTATACTGACTATGCGTCAGCATATGAATTTGCAGCTTATGACTGATCTACCAACAGTTCGAGTGCGACTAGACACACAAAGGGTCAGAATGTCTGAACAGCTTCGTTCTAAATGGACTAGAAGTGTAAGTGAAGGGTTCACATACTCTACCATCAGCATGGCTTCAAGCACAAATCATCGAGGCATCTCCTGGACATTGCGGATTAGTGCTAGCAGGCAAACAAGAAAAATTTAATTTAATTTTTTCTCTGTTCAAATCTATCCCACCTAGTTGATGACGATTTGCGATCAAATTAATTTCCATGCTTCCTCCATGCTTCCATACTTTCAAGTAGAAATGAAGTTCAAGAATAGAATTAATGTTCTGACTAGAAGGGGACTAACGCAAGCCTTAGTAGCAACAGTTTGAACATTTTTGGTCAAACTTCTTTATGAGAACGGCGGAGTTTTGGAAATGTTGTTCTTCAAAAGTGAAGTCAAAGTTATTATGAAAATCATTAAAAAGAAAATAACAATATTATTGATTGACCGGCGGCTTAACGCAAGATTTCAATGGACATGACAAACTTGGTGCTTACAATTTAATTTCTATTGAATTAGTAATTAGTATATTACATGTGGGTATGGTGAATGTGGACATTCAAGTGGACCTGAAGTTGTTGAGAATTATACTAATATTTTCAATATTACTTGCAATTTCAGCAAAAAATAGGGTCGTGGTTTGGGTTTTATGATGACAGCACGCGATTGTGACCTAACTAAAGCGCAGACACAGTCACGTCAGGAAATATTGGTAATTCAAAGTACTATTACGTTATTTTAAAATATATTAACTGAGTATTGTTGGAATTCAACAGTTAAAAAAAAAACAAGTAAGAGGCTCTAGTCGGGAGTTCCCGACTAGGGTTACCCTGAACCCTCTTCTACCAATACCAAATGCAGCTCGCACTACGCGCTCGTTTGCATTAGGAGTAATAAAAATATATTAAAAAATAAATAGTTCCCTCGGTAGTGTTCGAACTCGCAACAAACCACACTACTTGCCGCCGCCTCTACTCAACAGCCACACCAATAATTGAGTCTCAATGAGAATAAAACCGAATTAATATAGCAGCACAGAAAACAATACAATCGCAATTGCAATGCTGTTGATAGAATTCAATGAAGTCGCGCATGAATGTGTGTGTATACATGTTTACAGAAATTCTTGCAATTTACGCTTGCTGCCTCAAACTCGTAGCCAGCCAAAATACATTTTCTTTAATAACTTCTGTGTTTCCTAACCGATCTCCTACATTTCTAATTTCAAGTCTCTAGCTCTTATAGGTTCTGAGACCCTTGCGTTCATACATATGGACATGGCTAAATCGACTCGGCTGTTGATGCTGATTAAGAATATATATACTATATGGGGTCGGACATGTTTTCCTTTGCCTTCATTTGCACAAAAACATTATACCCTTTTTACCAATTTTCAAAGTTGTTTTAAATGTTTGCAAAAAATAAAATGTTTGCTGTATGAATACTTAGGAATGTATCTGTTTGTGTCCAAATGTATATAAAAAAAAGCGTGTTCAAATTTATTAAAGAACTTTGTTGCTAAACATATCTTTATGAGAAGAGTGTAGTTCAAATTGGAATTTTTAATTATTTGATTTTACGGGATTCAAAAATTTAACATGCTTGACCTGTATATACTATGCGAAAAGCCAAATTTGGTGACTCTAAATCTTTAAGACGAGATATACTCTATTTAAATATTGGTTTTTATCGATTACGTGAATAAACTTAACAAGGATTTGATCTGCGCCGGCAATAAGCGGACCAACGTTTCAAATTTCAAGGCTCTATATTTTATAATTTACAATTATCTATTTACATACAGAGGAATCCCCTCGAGAAAGTCGTCGATCTATTACGACTTATGATTTATCTTCAATTATCTGCGGCAGCAACAATGATGGGGAGAGATCAATAAAAAATTTTACTTTTGCAACTTTGGCAAATGCAATTCGAACACTGCAAAGTACCAATAAGCCCACTTGCAACAGAAATTTTTAAAAAATTTGTTTTCAGTTCGCGCGAATAGTTGTGAAAAATGAAGGTGGAAAAGAGTATTACTGCCAAAGATGATGTTTTTTTTAATGATAGCTCATAACTTCGTGTTTAAAAGTTTATTTTATATTTTCGTATAAAATGTAACATTCTTAAAATCTTACTCTGAAATAGCCAAATCAATTTTAAAGCCATTAAAATACGGATGCTCCAATATATCCTTGGCTGAAATTCGATGTACTGGGTCATAAATAAGCATTCTTTGAATAAGGTCGACACCGTTTGCATCAAGATTTTTTAGCTGGTTGGTTAACTGATTTGTCGACCAACAAGGAAATGTATTTTTGTAATCGGGAAGCGAAGTTACGCCCGGCCAAATGTCTTCTGTGGGTGTTTTGAGTATTCTGAAAATAAAATTAAAATATGTCTTGAAATGTGACCAATAGGAATATGATGGTGCATAATATTGATCACATTAGAAACTAATCCAAGAAAGGTGTTCTTCGGCACGCCGAACATTAAATAACCTTTAGACATACATATGTCTTAAGGTTTTCTAAACATGCTATGATAACAGTTAATCTCGTATTTGCTTTAAAAATTTTAATAAACAGAACATTTTTGCATACATCACAAAAGGAGTATGTCTTAAGGTTTTCTAAACATGCTATGATAACAGTTAATCTCGTATTTGCTTTAAAAATTTTAATAAACAGAACATTTTTGCATACATCACAAAAGGAGTAAGACAAAATGCCGAGTTTGGTGAAAAAAACTTTAACATAAAAATAAAATTAGTTTTTAAGAGAACTTTAAAATTGTGAGCCAAATTAATGTTCTTAATGAATTTTTCAAATGATCTTACACTCGAAACTTTTCCCATTACACTATATTCAATAGCGGTCATAGGAACCATCGGTGGTCGAAAAGTGTGTTTTTGCATGGACTTAACTCGGCATTTTTAACTATGCTTCCTACATATATGTAATATCGCACCATTTTATTATATAGGTGCCATACGAATGATCGGTCGAAATTGTACGTGTAAATTGCAATTTTATACTCGCTAGTTAATAATCTATGGTAAATGAAGTGATAGCACTGATCAACGAAAAATTATAAAAATCAGCCAGACTGGCTTTCAAGTTGAAACCGAGATCTAGAAAAAATACACGAGTTTGTGACTTCAAATCACAGGCTTAGCACAGCCGTAGCACAATTGCGGATGGACAATTTTCTATTTGTCCCTGGCTAAGTTGAAGACTTTTGAGTAAATGCATGTAAGCGAAACTACATATCTATATTCGTATTGCTCTACATCTTCAATATATATTTATACAAAGGAACAGTATGGCTTCGTTTCAATCAACTAAAACAAGGTGCTTACACGAATGTTTACATACACTGTTATTATATATTAGATATTTTAAAAAAAATTTACTTTACCTGAACATTCGAAATAATTGATCAATCTCCGAATCACCTTGAAATAATGGTTTCCGTGTAGCCATTTCTGCAAAAATGCACCCAATGGACCAGATGTCAACTGGGCAAGAGTATCTTGGAGAGCCCAATAATACTTCTGGAGCCCTATACCACAGAGTAACTATTTCATGAGTATAAATGCGTACTGGTATACCAAACGATCTGCCGAGTCCAAAATCTGCAACTTTAATAATACCATTTTTATCAATAAGAAGATTTTGCGGTTTTAAATCACGGTGAAGGACCCGACGTCGATGGCAAAATAGAATAGCATTTGTTATTTGATACAAGTAGCTCTTGACTAGTTGGCTATCAAGATGCTTTTCCGGTGGTAAGGAATCCATATATTTTTTAAGGTCCATAGATAAAAATTCAAATATCAGGTATATACGATTTTCTTCCATTAATACATCTTCTAAGCACACAATATTTGGATGCTTTAATTCTTTCAATAATGAAATTTCTCTGTAAAAAAGAAAGATCCATGTATTTAGTCAAACATAAAATTCGAGCAATCTATAAACTATTTATTTACGTACCTTATCGCAGTAGATGGGACACCCTCGTCATCAGACTCCAATCGAATTTTTTTCATGGCGACGATTTGCCCAGTTAATCGGTTGCGGCCCTTATAAACAACGCCATAAGTACCTTCTCCAATCTTTTCAATTTTTTCGAAGTCTTCCATTTTACTCCCGGCTAGTTTCAGAAAAATGCCGGGCTTTTTTTAAGGTTGCCACAGTTTTTAGAATACCACGGATGCTTATTAGATATATTTATGACAAATTCAATCGATAAATGTAATGATCACCGATATTGAAACACTGAAAATGAACAAGCACAAGCACTCTACACACAACCAACCTTACTAAAAATATTATAATAACCTGTTAAGTAATAGCACTAACCAAATAACATATAGATCGGACAAACCGTACTTTTGATGGTGACATTCGTTTTTTTTTGCGGCTGGTCCAAACTCGCCTTCGTTTTTTTTCGGGTTCGAGACATGCCCGCATGCTCTCAGAGCAAGAGAGTATGCATACATATGGCCTGTGTCGTGGAACGGCAACGCTGTCTTTTTACTCGCTCACTCTACAAGAAACTGCTTTGGCTTACTCTCATCCATATGATTTGTGCGATAGAACGGCATCGCTGTTTTTTATCTCGCTCCCACTATAGGAAACTGCTTTGGCTTACTCTCAGTGCTCTTTCAATTTGTCTATGTACCGTTTAAATGTTTGTGTGTGTATGTGCCCGCACAAGCAAAAATGCCCACAAATTCAATTTTTCTCAAAAGTCGGTGGCATTTTTTCCCTTTTGAGTGGACGAGTAATATGAAATAATGAAAGGGTTTGCCCCGTCGATGCGAAATTCTTTCATTTTAGCTCGTTCTTCTTCGAAAGGGTACCTAAGCGTTGGCATGTTTTCATTTAAAAGTTTTTGGACTTGCTATTCACGCATACTTGCGTATTTTGTATATGAATAGAAGCATTTATGCGCCTGTGTGCCTGTTGGTCCCTGCCTGCCTGTCCGATGCAAATTTGACAATGTTTTTGGATTTCTGAATTTCGAGCTCTACACACACACACAGAGACACAAATGTATGTGAATAAGCTGATCATGGGCGCAAAATTTAAAAATATCATTATTGGCACGCGTCTGACGCGCGCCCTTCTTTATATGATTTAGGGTTTGAATTGATGAATGAATGTTGACCCCTTATTACCTGCAGCAGCCCGTTGGGCCGAAAGGGTAAATTTTTGGCAAGTACCTGCACTTGCGTATGTACATACATAGGTCAAGTGACTGATCACTTAAATAATTTTATGAACATATTCATATGCGTGAATAGCAAGTCCAAAAACTTTTAAATGAAAACATGCCAACGCTTAGGTACCCTTTCGAAGAAGAACGAGCTAAAATGAAAGAATTTCGCATCGACGGGGCAAACCCTTTCATTATTTCATATTACTCGTCCACTCAAAAGGGAAGAAATGCCACCGACTTTTGAGAAAAATTGAATTTGTGGGCATTTTTGCTTGTGCGGGCACATACACACACAAACATTTAAACGGTACATAGACAAATTGAAAGAGCATTGAGAGTAAGCCAAAGCAGTTTCCTATAGTGGGAGCGAGATAAAAAACAGCGATGCCGTTCTATCGCACAAATCATATGGATGAGAGTAAGCCAAAGCAGTTTCTTGTAGAGTGAGCGAGTAAAAAGACAGCGTTGCCGTTCCACGACACAGGCCACATGTATGCATACTCTCTTGCTCTGAGAGCATGCGGGCATGTCTCGAACCCGAACAAAAACGGAGGCGAGTTTGGACCAGCGGCAAAAAAAACGAATGTCACCATCAAAAGTACGGTTTGTCCGGTCTATATGTTATTTGGTTAGTGGTAATAGTTAGTTTATATGTTGTACCTATTTTAAAATATTTATATGCTGTCAAATATATTGAGTAGAACGATTGCAAATTTTCTTCATGTAAACTTAGCAAGGGATGATCGATTTTTATTTAACCCGTTTAGTGTTTAAAATATTTAGAAGTTGTTTGTTCCTCGGTAAGGTTACAACAACTAAGCATATAATATATATGATCTTAAAATTGACAATGAATGGGGTCAAGAACTTTTGGGAAATAACACGGTCAATGTAAAACGTTGCTGCATCTGACTGTCTTGCTGTAAATATTTTTGTTTTGAATTGAAATATACTTCGAGATGCATGCAGGGTGTTTGTCGCTTGACCTTATTGATTTGTCCACAGAGCATCTCGTCCACACTGAATAATATTGAATAAATTAAATTGAATAGAAAAGCTTTAAATATACATATATGCATACAAGCCGAGCAATGCGTATGACGCGAACCAGTGATTTTGTTGTCAACGGGTAAAAAATACGGGACCCTTAGTTTTTGTTACACCTCTTTGGTTCCTGCGGTAGGGCCTCGCCCAGTCATGCACCATAAGAAGTAAATAATCGCTGCTAAGCTATATCTCAAAAAGAGTATTTAAATGTCTGCTTGTTCGAAATGTTGAAATAATAACAGCAATTAAGCATTCTTATAAGACTATAAAAATGAAGTTGACAGATGTAATATTGTATTAGCAAAGTTCTCATTCTCTAATCGGTTTTCTATTCATGCTTCAGTTTCTAATCAACTTTTATTAAAACCCATGCGAGTGCATTTCTATATGCACCTTAATCAAACTTTAAATATCCCAACAGAAGATTTATGTTTTTTTTTTAAATAATTATTTTAGCATTATTTTTGAAGGCACTTAAGTTTCAGCAGTACATCTATTCTTCCATCTTTGCTTAAGTTTGCAGTTGAGAGTGCGAATACTGATCCAGGCATTGCCAATCTGCTTGGAAGCTTTTTCTCAAACTACCTACTCGTCCTCTAGATATAATAATCATAAGCCTTATCCACATCAGTTACAGAGGTCAATATGCATCATAACTCCTTTTATTACTGAAAGTTTGGTGCTCGGCGACCTTAACACAATCAAGCCTGATCCCTCACCGGGCCCATATGAAAAGAATCGTTTATAATTGTTCTACATAAAAAGGGAGTAAAATCTGTTGTGGAAACTATCGAATTTTTTCCAAATTGTCTACTATTCCTTAAGCCTTTGAGAGAATCGTAACATTTCAACTGCTACATTTATGTAGCTATATTATTTCACCATCCCAACATGGCTTTGTGAAGCGTAGATCTGCAACCATTAACCTTCTTGTGTGCTTTTTCCTAGTATATGATGATTTTAAGAAAAGAATGGAGACTAACGTCAACTATTATGCCTTCTTGGCTTTCCATTTAAACTTCAGGATCTCAGAATATTTGAGTAAAGGAACCCAAAATGTTCTTCTCAGCCATTCGATTTTAATAGGTATTTAGGTGACTTCTGGGTTCCCCCGGTAGTCATATTAGCCTACTACTGTTTACTGTTTTCATGAATGACCTTCCCTCAATATTGTCTCACCATCGAGTACTAATGTATGCCTTGCATATGAGAATATGACCTCATGTGGTCTATTACAACATCCCAAGGGTGCCTTTCAGACTTTGTGTCTAACTTTTATATATAAACTGTTAAGAGTACTGACTTTCTATAGAAGACTTCCCAAAATGGCCCTAGACAGTTTACCGCTCGAGCGTGTCAGCAATAGCGGTAATGAAGCTGATGATTTAGGTGTCAGTCATAAGCTTAAATTCGATTCTCATATTACGATAGTGGTAAATAAGGTCAGAATGGTTTTGAATTTTATCCACCGATGGTCCAAGAAGTTTGAGGATCCGTACACGACAGAAACGCTCTTTATATATCTCTAGCATTGGATATGCCTCATATGTCTGCTCGTCACAATATTCCAGCTTAACTTCTCTGTCCCTACAAGACACGCAAAGTCATCTATTCTTAACTATTCACCAAGTATACAGTGTGAACCTATAGTCTTAGATTATATTCCTTTTTATAGTTCGCGACTTGTATCGTACGTTACATGACTGCGTCTCTCGATCGGTTTGGCAAGAGCTTTGATGCAGTAATTTGATTCGAGATGCACGCGAAACATAAACATACATAAGCAATAGAGCTGATTGTTTTTCTTATAATCACAGTTAATCTACGTTAAAATTATTAAAAAATTTGTTGCCGTAAAGATATTTTAGCAAAACTTAAATATACGAGGTCTATCATGCACCTTACACTTGAAAAATGTTTATCAACAACAGACTATTATATCATATAGCTCTTTATATTATATATATATTATAAAGATATTTAGATATCTTAACCAAGCCTAGCAATTATAAGTTTCACAATTCTCTTCGCATACCTGCAAAACTGTATTCACATATCTTCATGCCAGCTATGTTCTTTAAGTATCGCTTTCTTTATTCTCCATATCACTGAAGCTAGTTTTAGGTTTCATCGAGTTCTCAACTCGTGAGTGCCAGCTAAGGCAACAAATATTATTTTTTAATTTGTTTCTTTAGATAGGAATTCATTCTTATGAAGATTATGAAGACGACCGAAAGCCATTGCCTGTTTCCGCCGTAAGCAACAATTAGAAATAATAATCAAATTTTTTGAACAACTATAGAGCAATCGGTCCACATCATGTTTGACTTGTAAATCAATGGGTGAAGTAATGGGCAATAAAAAGGATATTTTTAAAACATTTTTGCTGTGAAATATTTAAAATTTAAGTAAGATATTGGTATTGGTTGATGGTATTATCGGCAGCATTGATATTTGTGCGTGGTCGGGCGTATTATATTGAGCGCATATAAGCGTACAAATAGTGAGACCTTGGCAACAGCGATCCACTGCGCTGAATGTGGAAATGTGGGAGAGCGTTGACGATTGCTCTATTATTCGATTTGCTCAGAGAAAGAGGTGGGAAGGAGTTGTTTTAAGCGGCGGCTAGCAATTGCTAATGTTCTTTGTTGTTCTTGTAAATGTGTTGAAGTTCTGTTCTTTAAAAGGATAAGATTTAAGACTATATATAGTTTTAATAGTGTAACGAATAATACGCACGCGATTCATGCCCATTAGGTGGCATACAAGACGGAGATAGGGCTAAGGAGCTGGTTTCAGGCAGTCCTAAGTCCGTAAGCAGGATTCTATTTGGAAAATTAAAGTTGATCAATATTGTCTGTTTTTGTTGGTATTTCCCCTTTTATGTTATTTATTTTCAGTTTCAGCT